AGTTATTAAGAATCGAAGTGTTCTATTTTCAAACATAATTTTTATGTCGGGAAATAATATACATGTAAATATGTTTTTGTTTTACACAGGCAGTAGGAAAAATCAATATATTGTCACGTGTTACTAGTGTATTTAAGGAATAATATATACTACATAATAAATCAATTAAATTGAGTCAAAACAATAATTTATACATTTTGATCTCGAATGGACGTAGAAATTGTTAATTGGTAAAACGAAAGCGATTTTATAAATCGAATTTCATTCAAAGTTTGATTTTACCACAATGTAAATATTGTATTATGTATATATCATTAGTTCTCTTTTACAGTAGTTAATATTTATGTAAGGAATTAAACCCGGTAAAGAATTTTCAATGAACGGCCCGTGATGTTACTGTGGGGGTAATATTTCTGAAGAAACTGATACTCATAATTATTGATAATTCATAGCTGTAACTTGCAGTTATATTTCAGGTCACTCGCTATAAACATTTTATTTTAATTTAAAAATCTTTAATTTGTGCTGATATAATAACTTCAAAGTGTAATTGCCACACAAAGATTTTTCTTCAAAATGCATAACTTTATTAAGTGGAGCGACAAAACACAAGTGAGAATTTCAACCATAGCAAAAAAAATCATTTCTTTAGAATATATCCGGGAACTCAACTAATTTGTTTTAATTCCACAAACATCCACAAACCACACTACAAGACCAATATTAATTCATGCATCAAATTATTTTTGTTTGTAACAAGTATCCTTTTTAAGTACCTTTTCCAGATATCATTGTCTCATTGACGTAATATTTTTAAAGCACGCCAATGATTTAGGAGAACATTCAGAATTTCAATTAGTTGTAAGTATTTTTGGAGGCATCTCTTATTCCTGATATTGAAATATAACTATGATGACTGAACACAGTTAAGGAATCTACTTAATGACATCTTTAAAATTTCCTTTTTTTAAGAAACCTTTGAAAAAATATCACTTTGACATTACAGCAAATTTCTCCAATATTATTATTAAGATAATGTATTTTAGAAGAATAAATTAAGAATAAATATAATACATGTAATATAAAAAAAAATATATTTAGGGATAACGAATAGTATCTTTAAAGTCCATTAAACGCTTACATATATATTATTATAACAGTAACTTGATCCGAAGGGTCGTATAACGTCAAGTTGACAGGCGCGGATCATCAGATCTAACGAGACGCGAAGCGTCGAGTTTGATCTGATTATCTGGAGTCTACAATACCCGAGAATGCTTCTGTTTCCATTGACTTGTAAACTATCAATATGAGTTGTATTTTACTTCGTTTCATACCAATTGATTTGCCTTTTCTAGTGCAAGGACTAACCCTAATCAGTCGAACAGTATGCAAATTTAACCCTTATTAGTTGAGTGACGTAAATCATAGTCCAATGAGCGCGAGGATTTTGCGGATCTGGGGACCGGTAAAGTAAAGTCTACCCAATTAATATTATATATTGTTGAGATATATATTTCTAATAGCTCGATTTATTTGTTATTTTACAATTTCATCTAGCATCAAGCTCAGGCCAAATTAAACGAGGTCAGTATTTCTGAACTGCTCAATTCTAAGCATGAAGGATATGGAAATAACGAACAGTATTCAATATCAAAGTCCATAAAACAATACAAAATAGGAGCAGAGCAAACACGGACCTCCGAAACATCAGAGGTGGGATCAGGTGCCATGGAGGAGTGAGCATCCCCTGCCGACGGTCACACCCGCCGTGTGCTTCTTGTCATGATCGGAAAAACGGAAAATCCGTCGTCAATTCAGTGTATAAATAATGGCCTCACAACATTTGACTCAATGATCAATTATATTTGCTGACAAGGTCATTGTATCGACCATAGAACTTACGAAATGTTAAAAGTATACACGCTATAACTTGCGCCAGTTAATATACGATTGGAAATTGATATAATTTGTTTATCAATAAAAGTTACGAAAATACTGTAAATTACACTATTAAGATTAAACGCGTTACAAAGTTATCAAATTATAATTATTTATTATCCTGCAAGGAAAGAAAAATAGCTATTTTTAAATAAATCCATCACGTGACGCCGTCGCTACTTTTAGATTGATAAACACACGTGGCGTAAAGAAAACAAGGTAGGCCGTTTTAGATACTACTCACTTTTGACGTGGATGGCAAGCGTCTTACTCTTATTGGTACTTATCTTTTAATGTATTCAGTATCAACCATCTTCTCTGTTATGACGCATATTGACCTTATATTAATAATTGTTGTCAAAATGCAACATACCTCGTTGTCTGTGATTTCCCGTGGACATGGGTTTCTATATATAGGCCTACTGTTTACGCACTTCCTTCATTAATATTCATGAAAAGACTGAATTCTTAATTCCTAGATATGCTTAATTGTTTTGTTATTACAACGACATCTATAGTACAATTTTGTGGAAAGTATTATTTTTCATTACACTTCATGTGTTTTAAATCATTAATCATTTTGTTTCACACAAAATTCAGCGTTCATATAGCGTATATGACTTTAAATAAACAGATGCTATGTTAATTAATCAGTAGTTTCTTTATCTTGTTATTTGTGTTTAACTTATGAGATCTACATTGAAAGCTTTCATCGGTTCTCGGATGCATTTTTACACAAGTATGTTTCATACTGTACATAAATGTTCAATACATCATTTTTAAGAACCGAACCCAATTTAATTCATTTCAAAGTATTTTAAGAATAAGGATCATGCTAAAATAACGATTCATTTCTTTTTAGGTATAAAAGATCGATTGCAAGGCGAGGTCAGATTGTGATAACTGGGCCATATCTTGATTTATTGGGAAGTGGACATGTTATTACTGTCTCAAAAACTATAGAAACCAGGTAAATGAAGGTAGTGATAACGAGCGATATATCATGTAAACAATAATACCAGCAAACATTTTTTTTGTGCGAAAAGCAAATATTTTATCCAAAAATGTGGAAAAAATCAAATGACAACCATTTACATGTACATTCTTCAAGTCAACCTTGGATGAAGCCCATTTTAGAAATCTAATAACACATCTACAAAATATGATCATTGGAATTCAAAACAGGAAAAAAAGATTGAATAAAAAATTACTTTATCTCAACTTTGAAGGGATCTCTGACCCATAGACTTAGAGTTGAAATCCCAACTCCTTCAGAATTACACAATAAAAAAATGTCCATGGATTGATTCGCATTTTTGGATTGTTTTTGAGTAGAAAAAACATAATAAATTCCTAGTGTATGAAAAAATCCAATATACATATTTTTTGTGATCAAGTGAGGGACTTTGTTCTAATTATATACAAATTTAGATTTTTGATTTTTTGATTTGTGTATTTATTTTACACATTTAAAGACAATTTCGAAATTTTACAAATTTCCGCAAAATTATTACTCTTGGAAACAATTTATTTATATAAAGATATAAATGTATCCTTAAAAGTAAACGTACTCGTGCATTAAATGATTCATTATTTTAGCTACCACCGCAACCAGCAAGTGTTTAGATAAAGTCAAAATGGATATCAAAGTGAATGAAATGAAAGGAGAATATGACCGATAGTAGAAAAAACAACAACATTCTTTATATTTATCTTACTCCTTGTATAGAAGTATTTACATTAATATAATTAAATATTTTACATTTAAAGTAAAACCTCATGTATGCATACAAAATAACATCTATAATATTTTTAAAATATAGGCTGATATCATATAATTACCTGTTGTCTACTCACACACAACTTTCGTTATATATCTTTTTTTTAGGATGTTGAAGAATAATACGTTTCTTATCGGTGTTGCTGCCACGGACATTTCAATAACGTATTTCTACCAGTTAATGAGTGAATCTTCACTTTGTCAAGAATCTCTAACAAGGCGAGATACATTATTTAATGCATAAAGATTTTATTTTCCCAATAGTTCAATAGTTTGTGTCGTAAAAATGAATATTCAGGGCAGACATACATATTTGACATTTCAGATGATGAAGAAATTTAATTTATATCCAATATTTAAGCAATTGATATATTCCATACTTTTGAACTTGAATGTTGTTCGCGATCTCCATATACTTCATCATGTTTATTGAATTTCTCTTTGAAAAAAGTGTAGGCAATAACATCTGACCACCGACTTGCTGCATATGACTTTAATTGAGCTATCTGAACTTGCGTACAGATATTGTATAAGAATTTGCTTTGCATTCAAATGGAGTTATAAATGTGATGTCATGCATGAATTAAAAAAAACGTGCATGAGATCTACGTGTTAAAGTGGTTTAGATCAAATGTTTAGGGTTTTTTTGTAATTTTTTTACTGACTAAATTTTGCTTCTCTTTGAAGATGTTCCGTGATAGACGACAGCGGAATTCTTGTTTTGCATGATGATTTTGTGGACATTTCAACAAAATCTCTTGATATTGAAGATATCCATATCACGCAAAAGGTGAGTCATCAGTGTAACTTAAAAGGAGAATTTCAAATTATCATCTCATTTGGATATACAATGTACTTCATCCGTGAACAAATGCAATATAAGTTTTCACTATACTTTACAGATTAAGAATAGAAAATGATATACAGTTTAATTACCGAAACAGAAGTTTTTGGCTGATTACATGTACATGTATATGAAGAAAAAAAGGGTTTCATATGTGTTAAAATTATCTAGTTTACCTTAAACGATCTAAACAATTTTATATAACTTTTCATAGGAGCCTATAATTGCAAAAAACATGCTGGAAAACGGTGTTCTGAGCCGAGAGTCGTGTTTAGATGTGTACAAACGGAGATTACAGTATACGTTTAGGGTAAGTTTTGGATAAAAGAATTAAGGCTTAAAGATACGGCAGTGTTTTTATGTACGACTTGTTTAATATGAGGAACTCTTTTGGTTTTAGGAGATCGTTTTGTGTATGTCTGTTCGTTTTAGGGTGCAAAACACAGTTTTATGTATGACGTTATCAGGACGTTACTTGGTGAGGGACAAGCAAAACTGACCCCTATAAAAAAATAAAATGGAGGCTTGTTACACAGACTTCTGCATATCAATGGAAAGATAAAATTGTGAATTTTGTAAATATCCAACTATAATACATTCATCAATTACTACTAAGGGGTATTTGACACCTGAAATATGGGGGATATTGGGTTGTTTATGCATCCATTTTCAGTGCACCTATGCATTTTTAACCCCCCTGCTCAACAAAAACAGAAAAAATCAGACAAAATAAGTTGTATGCATTTCACAGAACAAGTCCTAAGGTTTTCTTTTAGTGTGCTTTCAGGGTACATTTTCCACCTCATGAAAGAGCTACATTACCTGCTAATTGACTCATGCAATTCTGCACATGTGAAAACCGGATGTTTTGGGAGTTATCTCCCCTTATTAAAAAGTCTCATAAATTTTTTTTTCTAAAAATGAATGCACATTTTTTTTTCTTTAAATATTAAGATAAGATTCTACTTTATGTGAATAAAAACAAAAATGATGCAGTTTTCATCTAGACTCCTATAAATAGCAGGAAAATCCCTACCCAGCATGCTTCTCTCTGGGAAAAACCCCCTGGATTTTATACGAAACTGTGTTTAGCTACCTTAAGGAAATAATTTTTTTTTGCAATTCACGTTTTTGTATTTAGGTGCAAAGAGGACAGAATTCCAAACATTTTGGTGCATAAATTGTTGAATTTGGTCCAGAAATGGGCAAGTAATTGTAAATTTAGTATTACATGTCTACGACATCGGTCGACGCATAAAACAGGACTTCGAAGAGAAATTCAAACCTAACCGAATCAGCTCACACAATAATTTTATTTTTCTTCAATTTAAAAAACACAAAGTATGAAATATACAGTATTTGAATATCAATAAAATGTTACATTATAAATTTTTTGAAAAGCTGCCAAACAATTTTTTACAGAAATTGCTAGTTTCTGTATAAACAAGGGGGGGGGGGGTCTAATTAAAAATAGTCACTGTCTTAAATCAGAAGATTGCCTCAAAAATCTGGACGGTGTCACCCTAACTAGATACTCAATAGTTCTATGTCACATGTATATCTATACAGAAGATACATATTCTCATTTGCGATCAATTAAATTGAAGGTCATGACCTTGCGAAGCTTCCATTTTTGACATGACGTCACACTTTGATGTCACAATGCAGTTGCGTCATAATGTAAAATAACAACTTTAGCCCCTGAATCCTTATCATATGTATAAATTCTATGGAACATGTATCTAATAGGCATTATGCCCTACACAGTGTCAACTTGAGATTATATTGTATGTTTAACTACATAAATTAAAACAAATAAAGCAATTTTCTATGAACTTACATGCAAATAAATGTGGGAAATGTCATCAAATGCTACTCCTTAAGGGTGCAAAATACAGTTTTATGTATGACGTTATCAGGACGTTACTTGGTGAGGGACAAGCAAAACTGACCCCTATAAAAAAATAAAATGGAGGCTTGTTACACAGACTTCTGCATATCAATGGAAAGATAAAATTGTGAATTTTGTAAATATCCAACTATAATACATTCATCAATTACTACTAAGGGGTATTTGACACCTGAAATATGGGGGATATTGGGTTGTTTATGCATCCATTTTCAGTGCACCTATGCATTTTTAACCCCCCTGCTCAACAAAAACAGAAAAAATCAGACAAAATAAGTTGTATGCATTTCACAGAACAAGTCCTAAGGTTTTCTTTTAGTGTGCTTTCAGGGTACATTTTCCACCTCATGAAAGAGCTACATTACCTGCTAATTGACTCATGCAATTCTGCACATGTGAAAACCGGATGTTTTGGGAGTTATCTCCCCTTATTAAAAAGTCTCATAAATTTTTTTTTCTAAAAATGAATGCACATTTTTTTTTCTTTAAATATTAAGATAAGATTCTACTTTATGTGAATAAAAACAAAAATGATGCAGTTTTCATCTAGACTCCTATAAATAGCAGGAAAATCCCTACCCAGCATGCTTCTCTCTGGGAAAAACCCCCTGGATTTTATACGAAACTGTGTTTAGCTACCTTAAAGGAAATAATTTTTTTTTTGCAATTCACTTTTTTGTATTTAGGTGCAAAGAGGACAGAATTCCAAACATTTTGGTGCATAAATTGTTGAATTTGGTCCAGAAATGGGCAAGTAATTGTAAATTTAGTATTACATGTCTACGACATCGGTCGACGCATAAAACAGGACTTCGAAGAGAAATTCAAACCTAACCGAATCAGCTCACACAATAATTTTATTTTTCTTCAATTTAAAAAACACAAAGTATGAAATATACAGTATTTGAATATCAATAAAATGTTACATTATAAATTTTTTGAAAAGCTGCCAAACAATTTTTTACAGAAATTGCTAGTTTCTGTATAAACAGGGGGGGGGTCTAATTAAAAATAGTCACTGTCTTAAATCAGAAGATTGCCTCAAAAATCTGGACGGTGTCACCCTAACTAGATACTCAATAGTTCTATGTCACATGTATATCTATACAGAAGATACATATTCTCATTTGCGATCAATTAAATTGAAGGTCATGACCTTGCGAAGCTTCCATTTTTGACATGACGTCACACTTTGATGTCACAATGCAGTTGCGTCATAATGTAAAATAACAACTTTAGCCCCTGAATCCTTATCATATGTATAAATTCTATGGAACATGTATCTAATAGGCATTATGCCCTACACAGTGTCAACTTGAGATTATATTGTATGTTTAACTACATAAATTAAAACAAATAAAGCAATTTTCTATGAACTTACATGCAAATAAATGTGGGAAATGTCATCAAATGCTACTCCTTAAGGAAATAATTTTTTTTTGCAATTCACGTTTTTGTATTTAGGTGCAAAGAGGACAGAATTCCAAACATTTTGGTGCATAAATTGTTGAATTTGGTCCAGAAATGGGCAAGTAATTGTAAATTTAGTATTACATGTCTACGACATCGGTCGACGCATAAAACAGGACTTCGAAGAGAAATTCAAACCTAACCGAATCAGCTCACACAATAATTTTATTTTTCTTCAATTTAAAAAACACAAAGTATGAAATATACAGTATTTGAATATCAATAAAATGTTACATTATAAATTTTTTGAAAAGCTGCCAAACAATTTTTTACAGAAATTGCTAGTTTCTGTATAAACAAGGGGGGGGGGGGGTATAATTAAAAATAGTCACTGTCTTAAATCAGAAGATTGCCTCAAAAATCTGGACGGTGTCACCCTAACTAGATACTCAATAGTTCTATGTCACATGTATATCTATACAGAAGATACATATTCTCATTTGCGATCAATTAAATTGAAGGTCATGACCTTGCGAAGCTTCCATTTTTGACATGACGTCACACTTTGATGTCACAATGCAGTTGCGTCATAATGTAAAATAACAACTTTAGCCCCTGAATCCTTATCATATGTATAAATTCTATGGAACATGTATCTAATAGGCATTATGCCCTACACAGTGTCAACTTGAGATTATATTGTATGTTTAACTACATAAATTAAAACAAATAAAGCAATTTTCTATGAACTTACATGCAAATAAATGTGGGAAATGTCATCAAATGCTACTCCTTAAAGGTGCAAAATACAGTTTTATGTATGACGTTATCAGGACGTTACTTGGTGAGGGACAAGCAAAACTGACCCCTATAAAAAAATAAAATGGAGGCTTGTTACACAGACTTCTGCATATCAATGGAAAGATAAAATTGTGAATTTTGTAAATATCCAACTATAATACATTCATCAATTACTACTAAGGGGTATTTGACACCTGAAATATGGGGGATATTGGGTTGTTTATGCATCCATTTTCAGTGCACCTATGCATTTTTAACCCCCCTGCTCAACAAAAACAGAAAAAATCAGACAAAATAAGTTGTATGCATTTCACAGAACAAGTCCTAAGGTTTTCTTTTAGTGTGCTTTCAGGGTACATTTTCCACCTCATGAAAGAGCTACATTACCTGCTAATTGACTCATGCAATTCTGCACATGTGAAAACCGGATGTTTTGGGAGTTATCTCCCCTTATTAAAAAGTCTCATAAATTTTTTTTTCTAAAAATGAATGCACATTTTTTTTTCTTTAAATATTAAGATAAGATTCTACTTTATGTGAATAAAAACAAAAATGATGCAGTTTTCATCTAGACTCCTATAAATAGCAGGAAAATCCCTACCCAGCATGCTTCTCTCTGGGAAAAACCCCCTGGATTTTATACGAAACTGTGTTTAGCTACCTTATGTTTTGGAGCCAAAAACTTGTGTTTTATAAAAACTCTCATCCTGTTAGTTTTTCCTTTATTATTGGCGTGGTGGCAGCGGTGGGATTATACTCGAACCCAACATCCAAGGTAAAGGAATTCCCGGCAAACGACGCATAACAGGGAGAGTTTTCACGTTAACTGTTTACAGTTTATGAGTTTACTCTTACGGTCAAACACATCATGGCCGGCAATCGCGCTCCAAAACAAAGGTCCTTGACCAGAAATGAAACAATTACAACATTTGAGGTGTGGAAGCAAAACCTACAGTATACACATTCTCTCGATCCCACCTCGCAATTTTCTTAGTGGACGGAGCAAAATGGGCTAAGAAAAACCCAGCAAATCCTAGACGTGGCCTTGCCAATGACGGACAAAACGTGCCCGAAGAAGCACGGCGGACAGCTGCACGAAAGGTAGCCCACTTGGAACTCATGCTCGGACAAATTGCTAATTATTGCCAAATCATCTCAAGGAACACAATTGTTAAGAATTCCACATCTGTGATGTCGATATGGCAAGCTATTCGAACACATTTTGGATTCCAATTAACAGGAGACCATTTTTTAGACGTTGATAACATTCGCCTGGAACCAGGGGAACGACCTGAAGACCTGTCTCAGAAATTAACCAGCTTCATTGAAGACAATCTACTCCAACGTGGAGGAGGCATAACTCACCTTGGTGAGGCTGAAGAGGAGTTATCACCATCCCTCGAGAACCTCATCACATTGACCTGGCTCTGTCTACTGCACAAGGATCTACCAGCCCTGGTTAAATAACGTTATGGCCCAGAGTTAAGATTAAAGACACTAGCTAGCCTTAAACCAGAAATATCTCAAGCCTTGGACAGCCTACTTGATAAAATCCGTTTGAACAATGATGCCAAAGTCCTTCGCACAGCCTTTAAAAGCTACAATCCACCACCGTCCACAATGCAACGGACTCAACATATTCGCACGAAGACCAACAAGGTATGCCCATTATGCAAACAAGCAGGAAGACCTCGCTTTGATCATTTTCTAAGCACCTGCAAATTCTTACCTCAAGATGACAAGACATTTATGAGTCGAGCCAGACACCTATGCGCTAGCAATAATTTCCCCGACGATGCTGATGAGGAAAATAGTGCCAGTAACCCACTCCACAAAACAGTCTCCACAAATGAAAGCTTACTACAATCAACATGTCATCCACATAACACTAGACAGTGGAGCAGAAATCAGTATGATTAGAGCGTGCGTTGCTGAGCTCCTAGGAGCTGAAGTCAAAAAGTCCACACAACATGCGTTACAGGCTGATGGCACCACTCCGCTAGAAATAGTAGGTGAAACACACTTTGATGTGACCCGAGAAAACATAACGTGTTGAGGCCATAGTAGTGAAAGATCTTGATGTGGACTTCCTAGCAGGAATCCCATTTCTGTCTGCTAATGATATCAGTATCCGTCCAGCACGTCATGAAATTATGATTGGTGACGTCCGTCATCCATTACCATACTCGGGAAGGAAACCAACAGCACCACATTCGGCGAACTCATGCATATGTTATGAAGTCCCTATCTACCACAGTATGGCCTGGATCACACCTTGAGCTTGACGTACCAGAACACATCCCAGCTGAGGGTACAGTGGCTATTGAACCCCGCGGTGAATCTCGATGTGCACAACACATGTGGCCTAGACCAGAAATTGTTGAGGTAGTAGCAGGAAAAATTCGCATAGTGAATAATACTGATGAACCCAAGCAACTGAAAAGAAATGAACATTTCTGTCAAGTCCTTCCTACTATACCGGCATCAAACAACACTAATAACACAGTGTCCAGTTCCTTGCCAACCCCTGAGACTTCACTACATGGCACTGAGGGGAGAAGACCAAAGCCCGTCCCAGATATATTGTAGTCTCGGTGATTGATGAGTGGTGATATGTGAAAAAATTTTCCGGTCAACAATTACGATCTAGCTCGTACAAGATCAAAGCAAGTGAGTGTTACCATGTTCCGACAGAAGTAACCTGTAAGTCCCAACGACAATGCATCCCTGAAGACGAAGACCTGGAAGATATTCCTATCTCCCTACTCGACACTTCTGAGAAGCTTCTCCCCTCAAAACCTGCAGGAACCATCCCACAAGATAAGGTCTCTACCTATGAACCACCTCCGATTCCAGAAGTGCTATGTACACCCGCACACAAAACCGCAAAGGCACAGGAGGAAGAGCGGGGATTCGGATACAGAGAACGAGGTCCGAGATGCCTCAAATCACCCTCAGAGAGCAAGAAACCCTCCGTCTTACTTAAAGGACTATGTTGTATCCCTGTGAACAATTATTCCCTTAATTAATAAGAACGAGCTGTTTTGTAAGCAGTTCTTAAACATGTTAAAGTTTGACTTTAATTTGTACACTTCATTTTCTCAACTAGTTTGCATCTGCCACAGAGAGTGTGTTTATAATTGCTTTATATAAGAGGTTGTGCCAGTGTTTTTATGTACGACTTGTTTAATATGAGGAACTCTTTTGGTTTTAGGAGATCGTTCTGTGTATGTCTGTTCGTTTTATGTTTTGGAGCCAAAAACTTGTGTTTTATAAAAACTGCCATCAAGTTAGTTTTTTCCTTTATTATTGGCGATAAGATTTTTTCCCTGCAAGCATGGTCTATGTTTAAATCTATTTCTTTTGTTTGCAGGTGTCTCCAGTTAATTTTACGAACTCTCATTACCAACTGCTTCCTTTACCGAACAGCAATCTATTTATTTTGCTAGTACGTCAACAGTTCTTCAACACACAGATTCAATGTTGTGGTGTAAGTAAATCTCAGAGATCTAATCATTTATTTCATTTTTTTACAATGCTGAATATAATTTTACGGTATTTATTTTAATTTCTACTAAATTGGATATAATTTTTTTAAAAATGCATTTTTAATAAATAGATTTAGAGATTTTATTGCCTTCCAGATAATTGTTGAATTAATTTATTAGCACAATATATTGTGAATGATTATATCTTACAGGGTGGGGGGATATAATATGGATGTTGCCTTAAAGAGCTTGTGCGTAAAGAAAGCATTTTACCCAAATTTGACTTTCTGAACTCTTTTGCAAATGTAAACTTTGGACATGATTTTTGAATGGTTAGACCTGGAGCGTTTGAACTGTTCACATATTAAATGTGACAAGACCTTACCTTAGGTGCCACCAAGTTTTACTGTTTATTCTTTGAGATTGACCTTCGTTAAACATTGGCCACGCTTTTTGAACGGATGATTAAATGACTGTCTTATCATTAGTACATTCCTTGTGGCAAATCCTTTCCATTGGTACCAACAATTCGACCAAGACTCTGGAGTTTGACTTACTTTTGAAAAACTCACACTTTTGTAATATGTTTGAATAGTTGGTTTTCATATTACACATTTTGTATTCCCTGTGATGGGAACTTCACTTCGAAAGCAACCAACGATATCGAGAATTTGACCTTCTGTGGAAAAATTCTAACCTTGGACTTAATATTTGAATTATTCGTGCAA